GAACACAAACAAGAGTCATTTAATTAAGCAGGATTTCTTCTGGTATGAAAGCTCACAATAGTGACACTTGTACATGGGCTTGCTAAGGTTTTATTCTCTTTATGCTCATTCATAATCTATAATACAAAGATTCAGTGTGAGGAAAAGATGGGAGTATGACTACAATTTTACAAAAACTAAATAAAAAGCAATGCATAGAAGAAAGATTAGAACAGTATTTGTCTTGGATGTTCAGGGGAGTCCTCTGGAGGTAAGATATGCCTGACTAGACCCAATTATGCAAAGTAAATGAATTAATGAATGATGAATAGATAGATGTATAGATATGCCTGAGGTTTCAGGTTCTTAAAAGGTTTTACATTTAGAGGAGTTTGATTATTTTATGTGCATTCATAAACAAAGACAGAGAACATAAACACAAAGCTTAAATGCTTCACAATTAACTTTAAAAATCAGAGGAATGGTTGTTGAATTTTGCAGGGTGAGTTGGTGGCACCTGAGAAAGAGATGGAGGCACAAAGAAGGGTATGGTATGGCAGTTCTCTGAGGACCAGACTAGCACTGGACCCTCACCAGCAGTAGGGTGGTGAGGATGGAGGTGAAAGTTAGTCCATTATCAAAAGAAGGAGACTGAGGAGGGGAAAGAGGATGTAAAATCTTCTCTAGGGGAGGATTCCCAAGGAGGACTGACCAATTCTTGATTTTGTAAAACGATGGCTCGCAATGTGCTAGCAAACTGGTTTTGGATCATGCTGCATAGTATCCTCTAATTTACGAACAACAACAAAAGATGTTTAGGGGGTGGTAGTGGGTGATGATAAGTAAGAAGATACTCTAATTCTAAATATCATGCAATTTTTCTTTAAAATCTGTACAGACACTTGATAATTTTTTTTAATTCTCTGGATTTAGATTTGCAATTTCTAATAACACAACAGTAAATCCTAGAGAAGTGCTATAAGATCCAGATTCAAGTTCAGTATCAACTGGGGAAAAAATGAAAAAGCAAGAGTTATATTCTTAGACTTACTTTATAGTTCCCTAAAAGTCAATAAGAACAAATCTATTAACTTCAACAGTTCTAATAAAAGCTAAATACATGTACAGATACAAAATATATAACTATTAAATATAATTGGACCATATTTACATGTTCAATTATTTAGTATAGGGACCCAGGTATCAGGGCTGCTGTTTTTCTCATTTCTTACTTTCTTCACTCGTTTAACAAATATTATTGAGGATATATTGTGTCCACGCACTATTACAAGAACCTGAATTATAATGGTGAACAAGACACAGACCTCTTAACAATCTTATCCTCTAACCTGGTAAATAGTAAATAAACAGCAACTTCCATATAGTATGACACATGTCATGATAGGTCTAAAGATAGGACACACTAGAGCACAGAGAAAGGTACTTCTCCCAGTCTTTGGGAGTCGTTATAAGCCACTATTCTGGTGGTATGTGAGCTTGATACCTGAAGAATGAGGGAAAGTTATACAAAATAGTGGGGGAAAGCATGTGCAAAGAGCTAGAGGAGAGAGAAAAACAAAATGAGCTAGAGGAGAACATTTGTGGACCTAGAACTGGGGGTCAATTTTTTTTTTAAGATTTTATTGGGGAATTGGGGGAGGGGAACAGCACTGGAGAATCGGGGGAAGGGGAACAGACAAGTTGCTGTCCTTTTGTTCTTCAGTCTAGTTGTGGAGGACATTGCTTCACTGGCCCAAGCTGACACCATCATTGCGCTCTTCCCAGGCGAGGCAGATCAGTCGTCTGGGGACGGCCTCTCACGGCAGCTGCTGGCCGCTCATGCTGGCTACTGGCTACACATGGTAGCTTATGGCAACCCACTGCCACAGGGGCTGCAGCCTACGCCGTCGCTGGCGACCCACAGCAGCCCAGCTCCAGGTTGAGCTGTTGTTCAGCATCTTGGCTGTAGAGGGCAGTGTCACTGGCCCTCATATGTGGGATCCAAACAGTGGCCCTCTGGCATCCCAAGCCAGTTCTTAACCAACGCGCCACTCGGCCGGCCCTGGGTGAGTTAAAATCTCAATTTTGACTGGAGATTTGTAAATGTCAACCCTCAGCCATAGTAGTCTTTGACAGCTATTTGGAATTCAACATAATTGCTTTACTAAACGCCACTAGACAACAATGTCTTTCCGACCTTATAATGTAAAAGTAATGAGTCGGTGATGCCTCATATTTTCAGAGAATAGTGTCAGAGTACAGGTTGACAGTTTCATAGAGGAGAGAGAAGGAAAGCAAAAGTATAGCCAGCAACAAAAAGACACACACAGTGCCTTTTTGGAGAGCTTAAATGCTCTGAAAGATCATGAATAAATAATGAATACCGTATTTCCCCATGTATAAGACGCTCCCATGTATAAGACGCACCTTAAATTTGGGGCCCGAAATTTGAAAAAAAATGTATTACATAAAATTATTGAACTTGTTTTATTCATCATAAAATCCATACAACTCCTCATCACTGTCAAATGCAAGTAAAAAAATCTACAACCACTGTATAAGACGCACCCAGGTTTTAGACCCCAATTTTTTTTAAAAAGGGTGCGTCTTATACATGGGGAAATGCGGTATTTTTCAAAATGCGTTAGTGTAGTCCATTAGATGTATGTAGGACAAATACTTATAATTGTGTCTGTTATTCAAACAAAAAAAGAAAGGAATGTCATTTACTGTTCACAATTTATCTCAGAAATCAAAGCCATGTAAATTTACTTCCCATATTTTGTCGATATACCTTCTTCTTTCCAATTCTTACTCTAAGGCTTAGGATTCAGAAGGTTCCTACTTAGACCCATATTTGGCAATGATAATAAAAAGATTGGTCATAAGAACTTTTCTTTAAAAAAAAAAATCAAAAACCAAAAGTGAGGGCCGGCCGAGTGGCACGATGGTTAAGAGCTTCTTGGGATGCCAGAGGGCCCCGGTTCGGATCCCACATATGAGGGCCAGTGACACTGCCCTCTACAGCTAAGATGCTGAACAACAGCTCAACCTGGAGCTGGGCTGCCGTGAGTCACCGGCGACGGCGTAGGCTGCAGCCCCTGTGGCAGTGGGTTGCCATGGGCTACCGTGTGTAGCCAGCAGCCAGCGTGAGCGGCCAGCAGCTGCAGTGAGCGGCCGTCCAGAAGCCGGCGACTGGTCTGCCTCACCCGGGAAGAGCGCAATGATGGTGCCAACTTGGGCCAGTGAAGCAACGTCCTCCACAACTAGACTGAAGAACAAAAAATGACAGCAACTTGTCTGTTCCCCTTCCCCAATTCCCCAGCACTGTTCCCATCCCCCCAACTCCCCAATAAAAATCTTTAAAAAAAAAGTGAGACATGCAGTTGGGGTGGGGGTGGCAGCTTCTTTATTCATTTTTAGGATTAAGAGAGAAATCCTAACGATGGAGTTTATGGGAGCTGATGTTTTAGAAGGCATAGATTAGAAAAGTATTAATTTCAGGCTTTGAAAGTAATAAGACATTTTATCAAATTTAAACTGAATTCACAACCCTTTGAACATATTCTGACTTTAACTCTGAGTTCAATTGCACTGTTGACCGGTCTTTGGGAGGGACATCACAATACAAACAGCATGGACTGCTGAACCAGACTGACCTAGATGGGAAATTCTGTCACACTACTCGTCAGCTATGGGATGTTGCTCAAATCACTGAATCCCTCAGGTCAGTTTTCTTATGTGTAAAATGAGAATACTTATTTCTAACACAGGGTTATTGTAAACTTGAAAGAAATAAAATATCTAATGCGCCCAGTATTGCCAGACCCTCAGTAAATTTTTGCCAATTGAATGTTAAACGAAGCTTTGGACTCCAAAGATAACCTTTTCCCAGTTTTTGTTTTATTTTTTTTTTTGGAGTAAATAAATTCATTTTTACTTAAATTTTTGGAGGGTGCCAAAACCTGGGAATAAACAATTTTTAAAGAGATCCAATAAAAGAGAATCAGAACATAGTTTAATTCTCCTTTTTTGAGGAGGGGCTTAAACAATAAAAATTTATTTTCTCACAGTTCTGGAGGCCAGAAATCCAACATCAAGGTGTGCAGAGGTTTGGCTTCTTCTGAGGCTTCTCCTTGGTTTGTAGATAGTGACCTGCCTGTGTCCTAGCCTCTTCTTATAAGGACACCAGTCATATTGGATTAACGCCCATTCTAATGACCTCATTTTAACTTAATTGCCTATTGAAAGAACCTATCTCCAAATACTGTCACATCCTGAGGTACAGAGGGTTAGACTTCAACACATGAATTTTGGAAGGGTGAAATTAAGCCTGTAATACTCTTCTACCCTGCCACCCCCCGTTTTACCAATGGCCTTTTACCCTTCTAAGATGCTTCTAGTTTGGGGACGGGTACAATACTTCATTGTTATATTTTAATTATTTTTTTTAAAAATTCTGTTAAATAAGCACACCGTGCATACTGCCACTATAATTTCTGCATCTGGGGCGAACATGCAGGTAGGTAGCCAGAGCCCAGTCAAAAGGGACTTGGTAGGGTCAGGGAAGAACGTCGCTGTCAGCTGAGAAAGGCGCGCAGGTCAGCGGGTGGTCTGTCAAACGCAATTCCGGTCCAGTTTTATTCGTACATTTTGGTGGTGACCTAGCGACGGATTCGTGTGCCGGATTACTAGAGAGCTAACCCTGGTAGAGGACTTCAGTTGACACAGCGCTTTCACAGGCTTACCCTCCAGTCCTGGGCGAGGCCGGTGGAGATTTGTCAACCGTCTATGGCTTAGTCGGCCCACATTCCAAAGAAGAAAATGTCCCCACCCCCACCCCCTCCGCGGGAATGGGACTCATTTCTGGGACAGTTACTCAGCTAGAGCCTCTCGAGTCGGGTCCCGCGCCCGGGAATCGGTCGCTCCGCCTTCTCTGGAAGCAGGCGCAGTCACTGGGCTCGCCCGGAGCAGAAGCTCCCAGCGCCCTAAGCGGCTGCCTCCGCGCGACGGGCAGAGAGAGGCGGGGCCTCCCCCGGCCCTACGTCACTCTCCTGAGACTGCGCCTGCGCGGGTCGTCATGCTGTCTGCAGGCCGCCGCTGTCCAGTCTTGCTACAGCTGCGGCGCCTACGGAGGCGGCCAGGGATCGCAACCTGTCCATTTCTGCGCGGGCTTGGGCAAGAGCCCGTCGAGACAGCTCGGTCACTGTGTTGCGAGTTCTCGCAAAGAGACGCGCGAGATGGAGAGGGAGAGCGCAGGGAGGCACAGAAGAAAGTCCCGGGCGCTGAGTCGCCTCCATCTCTTCCTCCGCGCGTCCCAGGCGTTGGGACAAGATGTGTTTCGTCACTGGAAAGCCTCAGACCGCCGATGCCTCGAGAGGAGTCACCCCCTCGAGAGCACGAGAACCCGAGTGGAGACCAGGGCCAGTCGGATCCCGCCCTGCCCGCCCTGGACCAGTCCGAGACCGAGGTCGGAGAACTTCACGCCTCCTCTTCCTGGTCATCTTCCAGAGAGGAGCCCTTTCGGGCTGGGGAGCTGATTTTAGCTGAGCTTGGGAAGAGAGAAACACAATTTAAAAAATTATTTAGGTTGAGCAACGCCGGACACTTAAATAGTAGCTGGGGGACAGTCCCTTTTGGCGACATCGTGGGGAAGTTCCCTGGACAGATACTGAGGAGTTCCTCTGGTAAGCACTTCATGCTGAGAAGGCCGTCACTGGAAGACTATGTATTACTGATGAAAAGAGGGCCTGCCATAACATATCCAAAGGTAATGCGATGGGAGTTAGGTGCATATTGGTTCCAGAAAGAGCAAAACCAATGCAGTACTACAGACCTGATTCACGTACTTAAACAAGTCTCAGTACGTTTCAAGTTTTTGACCTCTGAGCTAATTTTAGGAGGAAACAGCCAGATTTTAATTGAAATTGGGAGTCTCGGTTCTCTGATCTGTGAAGGGAATGTCGACCTGCTTGTGAAATGGCAACATTTCACATTGGTCAATATCAAGCCTTTTTTAGGTTTGGAATAGAAGTGTACACTTGATCTTACCCAAAAGGCCGAGAAGCCATTGGAATAGAAATGTAAATGGAAACACTCCAATTTTTAAATTAATCTTTTCTGCTGATTTGCATGAATTGAACACTTATATAAGAACTATAGGGGAGTAGAAATTGTTGCCATTTAATGAAGACTAAAGTGCAGCCCAATTATTAAAACCTTAGGCTGAGGATTAAATTTATATTATTGAATACTGGGAAAGAGATTGGAATTCCCGTTGAGAAAAAAAAATGTAAGTTTGAAACTGAAAGAATTATTTGAACACCTGAAGTTTTAAAATGTGTAGAAAATTCAATAGTAGAGTGATAGTTCATAACTTTGGAGGAGTCTCCCAGTAGCTTCAAATCCTTTTCGGAAAGAGGCAGGGAAATAAGTAAAGCTAATGTCCCACCCAAGTTTTGGACTGAAATTGTCAGGTTGTATATAGTGGAATCTAACCTAGAAAACTCATCCCATTGAGAACATGTAACCAGAATGGCTGGAAGCAAAAGCTAGAGTGTTTTCGGGTTTCTTTATTTTAAAAGACGTACTAGGTTTCTGTATCTTGTATGAAAGATCCAAGAAAATAGAAAAACTGCTTTCTCCAGGGCATTCCATGAAACGACTACCCAAGCTGCCTCCCACTCCTTTGTGACCTTGTCAGTGTCCCCTCCCACCTCCACCCCCATGTGGCTGGCACATAGGAGAGGATATGTATGTCTGAAAAGACTCAGCATTTGCAAGTGAAGCTTTTTGATTAATACATCTTAAAAATTAGGTGTCTGTATCACTTGGTCAAAGCCTTAGTCCAACATTTCAGAAAATACATTTTGGGTTTTAATTAGACAACTATACCTGTTTTTGGTTTTTTTTGTATTTTCTCATGCAACCAAACCGATGTTTAATACACAATTTTGTGATTTGACAGAAGGATCCTAGAAACGTTCCCCTTTCTTTGAGAATTTTCACAGCATCTCTTCCCAGAGATGGAAAAGATAGTAAAAACTTAACCAGATAAGTTTCTTACTAGCAACTTTGAAAGGTTTGGTATTGGGGGAATGTTGAAATAAATGCTAACATTTAAAATTCTCCCTATAGAGTCCACTTCATGGACGGTGTAGGTGCCTGACCGCTGCAGTGTACACCTGAAGCTAAATAATAAGGAATGTCAACTAATAGTCACAGGATGTGGAGTACAGCATAAGGAATAGAGTCAGTGGAACTGTAACAGCTATATACGATGTCAGAGGTGTAGTAGATTTGGGGAGAGGAGTTATCACTTTGTGAGGGGTATAAATGTCTAGTACATTGTTTTGTACACCTGAAACTAATTTTAAAAAATTCTCCCTATATCTATAACACTTGGTTATGTATTATGTAGCATCATGATCAACAGCGTGGTTGTTGGGAGTTCAACATCAGTTCTACTGTGGTTTTTTTGGGTGGGAGTGGGGAGAACAGTGTGTTTTTCCAGGACCCATCAGCTCCAAGTCAAGAGTTTCAATCTGGTTGTGGAGGGTGCAGCTCCGTGGCCCATGCGGGGATCAAACCGGCAACCTTGGTGTTATGAGCACTGCGCTCTATCCAACTGAGCTAACCCACCACCCTGGCAGTTCTACTCTTTACTTGCCTACTTCATTCCTGGTTGTGTGACTTTGGGCAAATTACTTAACCGCTTTGATTTCTACTTTTTATAAACAGGAATGATGATACTTTTCTCCTATTATTCTGATCAAACAAGATAATGTATGAAATAAATTTGCATAGTTACAGAAACCTGAAACAGCTGTTATTACCAGCACCCATGATATTCCTGTTAACAAAACCATTCTTCAGTTATAGCATTTGGCAAATAATCCTCCTGTCTCCCTGGTATCCGAATTCTAAATAACTTCATCATTTCATGCAGAGATTATGTAATAACTGATCTTCCTGCCTCTTAATTTTTCTCTAGTATATCCTGTATTCCCGTTAATCTTCATAAAATGCCATTTATATTACCTCAGTGACATGTCCCAGTTACTTACCAGGTCATGTTCAAAAGCTTTAGCTTGGCATTCAAGTCTCTTTATCTCTCCTCCTGAGATAGGCAAACTGTGTTTACCTGTTTTATTTAAAGCTGTTTCTACCTTGAGACTGTGTCCTTAAATTCTCTACTGCATGTCTTTAAGCTAGAGTAATCTTCTGATTTCTCCTTTGTCTGAGCTCTTATTGTATTTATTGCCTATAATTTCAGTATTATACTGACATGCTGCTTTATTTACTAATTGATTCTTGAATCTTATTTTCTCAAGTAAAATACAAAGTCTTGCTAGTTAGGGCCAGAGTGTAATCCTTCTTCCTTTTTGCCCACTTCTTTCTTCTCCAAGTCCAACATAGTGTTTGATAAGAGTAGGTGCTTAGTACATATTTACTGATCCTTGAATCACCCACACTTTGTTTAAATCATAGGATATGACTATGATGCTGATGATGATGAATATTCACCCAGGTGATACAGTTTTGGAAGCTGGCTCGGGCTCAGGGGGAATGACCTTATTTTTATCCAAAGCAGGTAAGAGACTGGGATAAATAAATTGAATTTAGATGACAAAGAAAACATTCTATGTATTCATAATAACAGAAAGTTAAAAAGATGTTTCAGAAAATATTCACATAACTTTGGGATATAGATAATTCTCTTTGAAACTAACTGTAAACAACTATTTTTCTTTCCATTTTGTACATTTATTCCAGACATTCTCTTTCTAACCCTCTCTGTTTTCCTTGCTTTCTCTTGCTCCCTCCATGCTCTTTAGTGCTTCTACCTTTTTTTTTTTTTAACTAAACTTTGTATTGGAGCATTAACGTAACTACAGAAAAAAGTGCACAGATTGTAAATGTATGTCTCAGTGAGTTTTTATTACCCAGACCAAGACAGGGAATGTTACTGCACCACATAAGCCCCCGTCCTCTCTCTGTGCTTATCCTCCCCAAAGGTAACCACTGTTCTGAGTTTTATCATCATTGATTAGTTTTTGCCTGTTTTAAACTTCATATAAAAAGAATCACACTGTATGTACTCTTTTGAGTCTGGCTCCTTTCCTTCAACATTCTGTTTGTGAGATTCAACCACTGCGTGCAGTTCTTTCATTCTAGTTGCTGTGTGGTTACTCCATTTTATAAATAAATCACAATTTATCCATTCTACTCTTGATGGGCATTTGATTGGAATATTATTAATAGTGCTTCCCTGAACATTCTTATACTTGTCTTTTGGTGAACATATGTACATGTTTTTGTTAATAATAGTGCCAGATGAATCCTCAGTATGAGAGAATAAGGAAGGAGGAGGCTGTCAGCTGCTTGGGAAGAGTCATATGCTATAGGGGCAAAGAATTCTAGTTGATGTTCATCAATAAATTAATCATAATACAGAACTAAGTTAAAGCTAGACCATGAAGAATTTTCCTTTCTTTAAGAAAATCCATGTGAATTGTCAGTCGGTGAAAGTGCTGCTTGAAGGGGCACCTGATCAAAAATCAAGAGCTCTATAGTAAACATAAACATCTGTTCATGTTCCCACCACTTGATTTCTGGTTACTGTTTTCCTAGTTGATTATTGCTCCGAGTGTCAGGGCCACTTTCCCTGTTCTGGCTGCCTGTGTAGTGTTCCCTTCCTCACCTAATTACAGACTGCTGAATGGTGACAGCACTCTCTTTGAGTAGATTTTTTTTTTATTCATCCATGTTCTTTATTTGTGCATTCTTTTTTTAACTAATAAGCTTTGTTAGAGCACTTGTAGGTGTATATGGGTAGATTTTATAAAGATTACAGATAGAAATATGCTGAATTGAACTTAAACCTTTTGTTCTTTGACCTAATGCCATCACATACAAACATAATCCAGCTTATACTAGGTCAGGAAATTCAATTCATTCTGGCTCCTCAAATCTTTTGTTTGATTCTTTTCTGTTCATAATCAAAGGCAGTCATTTCTTCACAATCTGTGACAAGATTCCTAAAAGCATTTGAAAAAGTAAATTTATAAAAATTAGTGAGACAGGAGGAGTCCCCATATTTCTAATATCTATAGTATTGTAGGAATGTCAAGGCATGAATAATCGCAAACCATGAGTGATCAAAAAATTATTGTTTACTTTTGGGATGGAATTTTTTCCTCCATAATTTTATTTTCCAATTGTTTATCTTAGGTTAATGTTAACATTAATTTTTATCCCATGAGAACATGATGACTTGCAGCTGGATTTACATTTCAAAAGACAGCCTGGGCCGGCCGAGTGGCACGTTGGTTAAGAGCTGGCTTGGGACACCAGAGGTCCCTGGTTCGGATCCCACATATGAGGGCCAGTGACACTGCCCTCTACAGCTAAGATGCTGAACAACAGCTCAACCTGGAGCTGGGCTGCAGTGAGTTGCCAGCGACGGCTAGGCTGCAGCCCCTGCTGCAGTGGGTTGCCATGGGCTACCGTGTGTAGCCAGCAGCCACTGTAAGCAGCCGTCCAGAAGCCGGCGACTGAACTGCCTCACCCGGGAAGAGCGCAGTGATGGTGCCAACTTGGGCCAGTGAAGCAACGTCCTCCACAACTAGACAGAAGAACAAAAGGGCAGCAACTTGTCTGTTCCCCTTCCCCCGATTCTCCAGCGCTGTTCCCATCCCCCAATTCCCCAATAAAAATCTAAAAAAAAAAAAAAGACAACCTGGAATTTTAACTTTTCATTAGTGAACTACAGGCTGATCTGTGACAGCCTCCAAATAGTATCAAATTACCTCATAGAGTTGGGTGGAAAATTAATTGCCTTATTAAAATGCAGTAGTCATATGTGACACTGCAGTATTACTATACTAAACAGTTTGAAAGTTCTTCAGGCACACACAAAAATACAAATATTTTTAAAATATATGAAAGGCTTACCCTCATCCATAACAAAAGAAATGCAAATTAAAACTACAGTAGTAAACTATTCAATTTTTAGATTGACACACATAAAAAGTTTGCTAATTCTTTGTTGGAGAGAACATGGAGAAATAGGCACTCCAGTGCATTGCTGGTAGAGTAGAAATTAGTATCTTTTTTTGAGGTCAATTTGGTAATAATTTTCACAATAAAAATTCACATACCCTTGAGTCGGCAATTCCATTTTTAGGACTTCTATAGATATATTGGCTCATCTGTACAAAGACTAAGGCATAATAATTTTCATTGCAATATTGTTTATAATAACATACGTCTAGAAACAAGCTAAATGTTCATTGGTAGGTGACTGCTTAAATAACCTATGGTGTAGCCATACAATGGAATATAACAGCTGCTCAAAGGAATGCAATAGATTATTAATCATTGCAACACCACTGGTAAGTGAAAGGAAAGGTACAGGACAGTGTATATAATACATCACAATGTGTGTTAAAACCAAAGAGAAAGAGACACACGCTTGTGTAGGCACCGACTGTCTTGGGACAGGTATGTAACTAGTAACATGGTTACCTCTGAAGAGGGAGATCAACAGGGGATCTGGGATGGGACAGAGACTTTTGTAACCTTGAACTATCTGAATTATTTTTTCACATCCATATAATACGTTTTCACTATAAAATTTTTACATTCTGTTATGAATTAATACTATGAAATATCATAAATTATTTTTTTAAATTAAGTTGGATCACAAGGACGAGTCATAAGTTTTGAAATACGAAAAGACCACCATGTACTGGCTAAGAAGAATTACAAACACTGGCGTGATTCATGGAAAATGAGTCATATAGAAGAGTGGCCAGACAATGTGGATTTTATTCATAAGGATATTTCAGGAGCAACTGAAGACATAAAATCTTTCACATTTGATGCGGTAAGTTTTCTACATTACCTAACACTGAATACAAAGGAAACAAGGATCACATTTCTTTTGTCTGGGAGAGTGTCTTCCTTCGTTATTTACCTCATTGTATCTCTGGAGTGGTAGGAATATTTTTCTTCAGTATCATGGTGGGATTCAGAAAAGAGAGACTTACTGAATCAGGTGCCAAAGTTGTTAATAAATATGGGGTAATGACCACGGAAGAGTAGTTGAGCATCATGAAACTCAGCATTACTAGGACAAAGGAATAATAATTTGGAAGCAGCATCGGGAGCATATTGAGCCCAGCACCTATCCTCATGTTGTAAGATTTGGGGGCATAAATAAACTCCATTTGAGAGGGAACAGGCAAGAGGCATCTTTAGACAGTTAAAGTCAGGATGTAGAGGAGTGTTCATTTACGATGTTGCAGATAGAGGCATTATCATTAGCAAAGCTCCAGAAAGTGGAGATTTGTGATATGAGGAAGAGGAGCAGTGGGAGGCTGAGTTAGTGGAAAAGAAACAGGGTCGTATGAAAAGGATAGATGACCAGAGGATGACATACATTTTAAGCTGTGACCAATGATGGTGGAGATGTGGGACATGGAGGTATTAGTTGGCTTCAGTTTCAGAATTGTAGAATAAGTTGCCTTATCCTTGAGATGCCGTTGTCAGTTCATAGCTTGACATTAAGGAGTCTTCTTCGCTTTTCTTAAGTGGTTATTGGAAGGTTGGATTATTTTAGGACCTTTAAAGGGAAACTAGGTGAGAAATGAAGTAAAGTTCAAATAGGAAAGTAATGGTTTTTATTAGGACTGTTGCTTACTGCTATCTAAAGCCTATAGTTTTAGTAGCACAGCTTCCCGGACACAAAAGCCACAGTTCTTTTTCCTCATCCTTGTTTGCTTGCGTATTATAGCTCAGTAAGGGGGAAAAATAATAATGCTGTATGTTCACCATCCATAGGAATGTCACAGTTACCTGGGAGGTTAATTGTTCATTATAATTTTGCTGAATTCTTGATTATTTCTCCCTAAACTCACTCCTCCCATAGTCTTCATCATTTTCCTCATTAGTAAATGACATCTCCCTTCTTTCAGTGGCTTAGGCTAAAAACATTGAATTCATTCTGACTCCTCTTTCTCACATCTCACCACCAATCCTAATTCTAATTGACTCTACCTTTTCAAGATTTACACCATTTCTCATCACATCCAATGCTCTTATCTTTGCAAGCCACCGACATCCTTCCTTGCCCTCCCTCAGTCTGTTCTACATATTTAATATACATATACATATCTATATATTTAAAAAATAAGTCAGAATGTATTAATGCCACTAAATTATACACTTAAAATGCCAAATTTTGTTATGTTTACCATGAAAGACAGGTTTTAAAAAAAGTCAGATTATATCATTCTTTAAAACTCCCCAGTGGCTTTTTCTCTTCCTGAGTAAAGCTAAAGCCCATAAGATTCTAAATAATCTGTCTCTCCCCCACGCCCATCATATCCCTACCATCTTAGAACTCATCTTTTACCATTTTCCCCATTTTGTCTCCACTGTAGCTACAGTGGCCTTCTCAGACTCACCAAGTATCCTACAGCCTCAGAGCACTTGCATTTGCTGTTCTCTGTGTCTGGAGTGCACTTTCCCCCTAACTTTCCACTGGGTAACCATAATCATTTTCTTTAGGTCTCTTCACTGACCAGCCTGTGTATAAGATACCAACTCCTTTCCCTGCCCTGTCACTCTTTATCCCTCACATTCTGCTCTATAGTTCTGTATTCTTCATGTCATTCATCACCTTCTGACTTACATATTTACTGGATATTTAATATCTGTCCCATTATTAGAATATAAGTTCTCATGAAGCAACGCATCCTTTTTCGAAAAATTTGGGGTCTAAAAACTGGGTGCGTCTTATACAGTGGTTGTAATTTTTTTTACTTGCATTTCCCATTTTCACGCTTGTTTTTGTGCTCACACAACCACTGTATAAGACGCACCCAGTTTTTAGCCCCCAAATTTTTTGAAAAAGGGTGTGTCTTATACATGGAGAAATACGGTAAGCTCCTTATATCCTTACCACTTACCAAAATGCTTGGCACATGGAAGGTGCTCAATAAATATCTTGTGAATAAATGAATGATGAGTGATGTCCTTGACTCATTAATATTGTTTTTCAAAAAACATAGGCTGGCTTTTCCTTCCCCCTTCTTTCCACTGTCTTCTTCCATCCTAAACTCAAGCTAGTTGCCACCAACCTAGCATCACTTTCATCAAGGCCCTCAGCGATGCTGATGTGCAAAAGTAGATTAAGAATATGATGGCTTTTGTTGAACAAGAAGCCAATGAAAAAACAGAAGAAATAGACGCAAAAGCAGAAGAGTTCAACATTGAGAAAGGATGTCTTGTGCAAACCCAGAGACTAAAGATTATGGAATACTATGAGAAGAAAGAAAAGCAAATGTCCAATTTGATGAATCAAGCAAGGCTCAAAGTCCTCAGAGTGAGAGATGACCTTATTACGACCTACCAAATGGAGCAAAACAAGACTCGGCAAGGTGGTAAAAGATACAACAAGGTACCAAGTGCTGCTGGATGAACTGGATGGTCCTTCAGGGTTTATTCCAGTTGTTGGAATCCCAAATGATTGTTCATTGTTGGAAACAGGATTTCCCTCTGGTAAAGGCTACAGTGCAAAGAGCAATCCATATGTACAGAATCACCACCCAAAAATAGATGTTGATGTCCAAATTGATCAGGAGGCCTACCTGCCTGAGCAAATAGCTGGTGGAGTGGAGATCTATAATGGAGATAAAATAAAGGTTTCCAATACCCTAGAAAGCTAGCTGGATCTCATAGCCCAGCAGATGATGCCAGAAGTACGGGGTGCCTTGTATGGTGCAATGCCAACAGGAAGTTTAGGACTAAGCCTTTGGAAGGTGCAGTTCATGTACTACAGCTATGATTAGAAGTTTCTGATATTTGAAGAAACAAGATTATCTGCATAGCTTCCTCTTTGCTGTTCTAATATTCTATATTTATCAATGGATACCCTTCTGTAGCTTATGCCCTTAGCCTAATTGTTAACAATGGGAGAAAGTTTCACTTAATATGACCAGGAAACCTACCTGTAGCTTATCTAAAAGTAGCACAACTTTCAGTTGGTTCTGCAGCATGAAGGTGAGGAAATCAGGTGGTGGTTGCATGAACTTCACCTATTTTCTGCTCTCCCTCTAGTTCTAGTTACCTAGTTTAGAGGGCGATGTGTATGGAGTTCTCTGCCTTTAAGTCTCTGCTCTTCAGGCTTGAAATGCATGTGGGGCTTGCATTCCTTCCAGCAGTAGTAGCTTCACTATTACTTGTTTGGGCCTAGAAGTGTTCCGTCTCTGTAAGTGTGATTTATAATCTAAGCCATGATGCTCTAATTTATTAAAACAAAAGGTTTACATGAAAGAACAACCCACCTAAAGAATAGAATAACTTCTAATTTAGTAAATATATTGATGTGCCAGCTAGTCTTAGCTGTCTGGAATTATCTTTCAATGATAGTCATTTTATTTTCTACTTTCACCATATTTTTGTTTTTAATTAAATTTTTTTTTTAATTTCATTTAGTCATTGTATTCATTTGATATCTTTTGTGAGTACAGCCCTGTGTTCTGCAATTGAATAAAAAAGAAATAAATAAGGGACATGATGCTTACATTTTAGAATTTCTAAAATATTCAGAACTTTTCTTTTGAACATAAAAATACATATTTGAGATAATGTAATTTCTATTGCCAAAAGCTGAACTAAAGCATTGAAACTTTGTCTATATGTACGAATGTATATATGTGTGTGTATAAAATATAGCTAAAGAAGGATTCCTGTATTCAATATTGCCCGGGGCAAGACATGTCATTGCAATTTTTATGTAGTCATGTACTGTGACAAATTGTATAGTAATAAATATATCTTTTTGGGAACAGTAAAATGACAGTAGTACTATATTCTACTAAAAAAATGAAATACTTTAACTGGGTAATTGCTTTCTAAAAGTGTACTCTTACCATGATAAGAAGAGAAAACCTATGCTTTATTAAAACAGAACTCAGTCTGATTCTTTTTTCCCTCCCCACAGGTAGCATTGGATATGTTGAATCCTCAAGTTGCTTTGCCTGTTTTATACTCAAATCTTAAACAGGGCGGTATATGTGCTGTATATCTAGCAAAGTGAGTGACATGGCTGTTATTTGTAATGAGATTTTAAGAACACTTTTATTTTGTCCTAAGTACTAGGCTAAAATGTTCATTTTATAAATGAGTTAGATGTATATGTCATCTTGTAAAACTTAGGAAACAACTGTCCCAAATTCAGTTACACTGCTCTTTAAATCATCCTTTACATAAATGTCAATATAAGATGCATAATTATTCTGATAATTTAGAAGAAAAATTTTAAAAGTGTAATGTAAATAATAATGTTAAATTACGGTCTCTATATTTTTTTACATAGTATTCTGGGAAATTGCATTTAAGTTTGGGTAAGAGGTATATTTAAAATCATTTTTACCAGCTTGAAAGAACATCAGAATTGTTCTGTTATTACATAAATCAAATGCTTGTAGAAATATACTTTATAAAAATTAATCAGGACTCAGGGTTATTATTCATAACTTAAAGTTGTTGTATTAGAAATTTGAAGTACATTTTTTACTTTTCTGAAAGCATCACACAGGTTATTGAACTTTTAGATGGAATTCGCGTCTGTGAACTTGCTCTCTCATGTGAAAAGATAAGCGAAGTCATTGTCAGAGATTGGTTGGTTTGCCTTGCAAAACCGAAAAATGGAATTTTAGCTCAAAAAGTAGAACCTAAAATCAACACAGATTTACAATTACATTCTCAAAAGAAAATTAGAATTGAAGGTGAGATATTTCAAGAGGATGACCATGGTGAGCTTCAATTTTATTTTATGCATTTGTTTGCAATAATAAATGGGGAATAGGTTCCTAAGTATATTGACCAATAAATTCTAAAAATATTTCTCAGGGATTTATTTTTTTTCATATCTCAATTGAAATGTATTTATTCTGCTAAATTAAAATCTCTAAGGGACAGAATAATTACTTTTCCTGCCTTTTATGTAAAGCTCTGATACCTTTAAAGAACTGAGCTTCTTATAATATTCATATTTTACTTGTGACACAGAGGTTGGCTTGTGAAATATTTTATATATATATATATATGTATGTATGTATATATGAATTTTTAAAATTTAGATCAGTGATTATTACTGCAGGGAAAGAATTTAATAAAACCTGCTATGCAAATAGCTAATATTTGCTATTTATGCTGCTGGAATTCTTCAGAGAACTAAATTTAGGTCCTTGTTGCATGTACACATTTAGGTTATGAACAACTTTTCAAATATCCTTTGATTTATGATATGAGCTTACCATTTGGTTATAAAACAATATGTAAGTTTATCATGTAATCCTTGAAAAATTGTTTCTGTAAGATAACTGGCAGAGTAGCTCCAAAACAAATGCTAAAAAAAAAATCTGAAAGAAAAAACTTAAAGGGACAGTAATTTGTATTTTAACAGTTCTGTGAACAAATTATGAAATATTTTATGTAGCTTATAATATATATTTTGTTCTACAACAGAAGAATCACATTCTGATTTTCCATATGGATCATTTCCCTATATTGCTAGACCTATACACTGGCAAACTGGTCATACAGGTGAGAAATGTTTTCAGCCCAAATTAAATGGTGTTTTCTTCATATTGTTGTAAATGACCTTACTTTTTTCTCCCCTTCAATTAGCTTTTCTTGTCAAGTTGAGGAAGTTCAAACCACATCGTAACTGAGTACCTCAGACGACAGCAACTGATTTGAAGACAGAAGTATAAAGTAGAGCTTTATTTATAAATTACTACTTTTATAAATTGTTATTTTTAGCTATTACTATGATTTGTATAACTTTTACATATAATTTTGAAAAATAACAAAAACTAAAAAAAGATGTGTAACATTTCAAAATTGCTTAAATGTCCCATTTTGACATCTGTCTTGCAGTTAGTTTGACATATTGTAGTTAATGATTCCAAGTTGGTTTAGTTGAGCTACCTCATTCTTCAGTTCCTGTAAACCACTCCATAGATTTGTCTTTCTTCATGAAATTGGTTTTCTTTTCTTTGTTTGATTGATGGTCAATGGCTACCGAAATAAAATATGCATTTTAAGATAAATTTTATGTATCTGTGTATTTTAAATACATACTTTAATGGCTTGTATGCATCTTAAAAAGTAACAAAGAAAGCTGGGTTAAATAATAAAGGGGAAATGGATAAGAATGATATAATCACCTTAAAAATTGTTACTAAAGATGTTAACAATTCTTGCATCTCTTTTATCCTTCTCAAAATTATTTTAACTAGCTTGAAAGAACATCAGTATTGTTCCATTATTACATAAATTAAATGCTTGGAGAAATATATTTTATAAATATGAATTATCAATAATTAGGACTAAGGCTTATCATTCATTGGCACCAGTTATTTAGTTTTTGCTATGTGCCTGACTTTGTTTTAAGAATTTTATGTTTTTTCATTTAGTATGTGTAGCTCATCTTTAAGGTTATCCATATTTTACAGATAAACAAAGGCTTAGAGTGGTTAGGTTGTTGTTTTAAACATAGATGTTTTACAGGTTTTAAAGTAGTAGTGCCTAGGAGGATAAATGCTGCTATTTCTGGATTTATCCCTTGGGCTAGAACTATTTAAAGTAATATATACATTCTAAATAACATTTTACATATTTTTTATTATGTGGAAAATTCAAATAATTACCTGTGCAGTGACAACTGAGTTGAGACCTGAATGGCAAGTTTAACTACAGCAGGGAAAATGAGAACAAAAAAGGCCAGTGATGCTGGGGTAAGGGAAAGAGACAGGAAAGATAGGTAGGGGTCAGACCTATGAAGTTTGTCTATCCTAAGAAAAATGGGGTGCTGTTGAAGAATTTAGTGACGTAAGGGGTAACATGCTTAGATCTGTGTTTTGAAAAAAATCACTCTGGTTGCATTTGGAGATCTGACTAAGTAAATCATAAGTAAAGTGTTCTGGTGTCATATTTCTGGTAAGTATTTGAACACTCATAACAGTAATAATGGCTTTATAGTTTTCATGACATTTCCAGATATACACATATAGAAGCTCTAAGTACATTTTAAAATTACATCATGGAATACTCCCTTTTCTTCTGCTCTTCTTTTTAACTAGCAGTGAAATTCTGTCCTTCATTTATTGTTTTGAATACAGGCCTTAATTGTACTACTTGGAGAAGGGGCGCCTGACTTAAGAGCAAAGCAAAGTTGTGGCTTCTACTCCTTTCATGTAGAACAGTTTCTGTTCAGTGCACTGTGCTTAGCAGATGTCAAAATGAACAAGACCTTTCTAACAATGTCCATTCTAACTTTAAGTTGGGTTGAAAATCAAACTACATAAGTGAATAAGCATTTATTTGTATAGTTAATCGAAGTCCAGCTTAAGCCTTTCTCCATCTCCATCAAATACTAAGCATGTTTACAGTCTGCCTTATGAGACAGATGCCTTCTTCTAGTTAGCTTTCTATGTTCATGTCTGGCTCTCACTTACTATACTGTAAACTCCTAGAGATTTGTGAATGATTCACAACTGTCTTCCCAGTACCGTCAAGAAGCCCTGCCTTTTCCACCCAGTAAATGATCAATACAAGTTTGCTAATGGGTTTAAGCCTATACTGAATCATGTATTGTTTCATTTTGCCTTAGTTTTTCTAGGAGAAAATTTAGGTATATAGCTCTTGGATTGTGTAAGACTTTAAGTTTGAACTTTCTACTTCAGAGGTAATAGGGAACTTCTGAGGTTCCTTGGTCAGTTAAAAGGAGATATTTTTTAAAAGCCTGTTAGTGGTATCTGTGAGTATTTAAAGGAAGGAAAATACTAAATCAGAAATTTCATAGTAACACATAGTATACAACTATGAGGTGATTGGTAGTAATATACAACTATAAGGTGAAGAAAAGGGATAGATGTAAAAAAAAATACTGTGAAGGAAGAACCAGATAAGCTGGTAACTTATTAGATATATAGTAGGAGAGAAGCTATTATATATTTTCAAACTTTTATCTGCTTTTCAGAAGTCCTTTTCCTTACTTCTCTGTGCAAAACTGGACTCAGTCAATGGCCAGCTCATATACTTCCTCTGAAAACCCTTCACCAAGTCTTTTACCCAAAGAATTAATTTTGGCATCTTTTGTGCGCCTAAACATTGATCATGTAATTAACATTGCCCTTATCATATCATTAATTTATATGCCCTGAGTATGCCTTCATTAAACGTAAGGATTTAAAACCTGGATGACTAGAACAGTGGTAATGACAAAAATAAGAAAGTTCAGAGAAGGATTTATTGTTGATGAAAAATTATTTGGTTTTATAGAATGTCCCATGCCTGCCTACAAGACCCAAGACTAAGATTTGGTATATTGCTTTTTTCCCTTGGCTTTACTCTAAAATCTGAGTCCTCGGGTAATACAAAACAATACATATTCATGAAGTCCAGGTGTCATAAGGCTTTAAGACAGCACAAGGTAAACAGAAACAATGTACAGTTGACCCCAAACACCGTGGGGGTTAGGGGCACTGGTCCGTACAGTCAAAAATTCATGTATAACTTTTGATTTCCAAAAAATTTAACTACAATTGGCCCTTTGTATCTGCAGGTTTTGCATCTGCAATTCAACTGTGGATTGAAAACAGTATTTTCGGTTTGGGGTTGGGAATTGGTGGATGCAGATGGCCAACTGTACGAATGGCCTGCTGTTGACAGGAAGCCTTACTGACATAAACAGTCAGTTAACACATATTTTGTATGTTATATGTATTATATACTGTCTTAAAATAAGCTAGAGAAAAGAAAATGTTAAGGAAATCATAAGGAAAATACATTTATTGTATTTATTGAAAAACAAAATCCATATATATAAGTGGACCGATGCAGTTCAAAGCCATGATGTTCAAGGGTCAACTAGTTCAGTTAGTATAAAAATGTGCAATATATTCATATAGAACTGGGTTCCCATCTTGTTTTTGTTGTTGCTGTTGTTTTACCTTGCAACTGTGACTTTTCTGAATTTTCTTCATCAGCAAGATGAGTGTCATAAGGCCACTTCAAGATTTGTGTATGAGTGGGGGGTCAGGTGTTAAATGAGACTACCTTTATAAAATGCCTAACATGTGACTGGTGATTGTGATGTATGTAAATTTGCAAAGAAGGCTCATGTCTCCCCCCTCCAACCTTGTCAAAATGACAACTATTTTGTTCTTAATAAATGTCATAAACATGTTTATGTAAAACTTATTTTTTGAAGTTGCTTGCTTGTGTTTGAAAGAAAGATGGAAACATTGATGACCATCTGTTGCAAAGTTTTAGCATAAAAGTCTGGAGCAGAGCATCAGTTCTTTGTGTCACTCCTGGAGAATGCTGAATTGAATTTTCTGCAACCACAAACTGTCAGGTGATTCCAACCACCTTATGTGCATGGGAGGAGAAAATTTTGCTAGCAGAGGTCACTACTGGGAATCAGCAGCTGCCGATGCAGTGAGAGACTGACCACTGCTCCTGATAACATTGTTCCCCTTATACTGCCCTCCCCCCTTCTTCCCCCAAATAGCTCATTCCCTTGTTAAGCCTATTGAGAGAAAGTGAATGTAAATGTTTACTGGCCAAGTATATGATCAATAATTTTTCTTTATATTGCCTACCCTGTCATCCTTAAACAAAATGTCTTATTTAACCTTAATACTCTGAATAAAACAGTTAATGAGTAAATACTTGTTCCTTCCTGTATTGGACCTCATATCCTAAACCAGGGCTTCAGGGCCTTCATCCAGGGACAGGATGAAAGCACAGTTCCATTTGAACTCCCCTAAATCAAGTGCCACACTTTTCATCCACAATCCCTTAAAGACCTGTTTTTTGTATTGTTTTTATTTTTGTTTTCCCAAAGCAATCTGAATGGTGGAGCACATTACTCCCTGGATGCATTCTGATTTCCTGTTGAGATATCAAAGCATAAAATATACTGTTACTACTCTTGATATCTATAGAAGCTAGTCTGAATAAAATATAAACCTTCTGTTCTGCTTTCTGTAAATATCTGTTCAAATTGTGGTTGACATTCTCTCCCAATTCACTTCGTATAGCTTTTCAACAGGGACTTGGTTCTTAATTCTTTCACCACTTCCTTAATCCTTAGTAGTCTACTGGAAGACGTGTGGCAGCTTATTTTCACCACCAAAGGCAGGATTTCATCAAAAGGGTCAGTAGAGCACAATAGTTAGGAATTGAGGCTATAGTCTAGAGTCAAACCTGAGTTCAAATGTTGTTCCATCACATGAGGCAAATTATTTAACCTTTCTAATCCTCAGTTTCCTTATCTAAAAAGTGGAGAGAATAGTATTTACTTTAGGGTTGGCTGTGAATATTAAATAACGTGAAATGTTTAACACTTGCCTGGAACATTTTAAACGTCTTGTAAATATTACCTATTATAAGGATCAAAGAGTAGGTAAAAGGAGCTGGGAGAGAAGGGAGGGATGCTAAAAGGCAATTCTTTCTCAGCCTATGGTAGACCCTATTTATCTTCAAATATGAGTGAACCAATAAAAATTATGCTTGGAGGTGTTGCAAGGGAACAGACTACATATACTGTCAGTCAAATTTGTTTAGTGATTATTATGGCCAGGGAATGGAACAGTGACTAAGGCATGACCCCTACTTTCAAGCGTCTTAAGAGTCTAGTTTCTCTTTAAATAAAACTTCAGTGGCCACTGTTTAGTCTCATAAGGATGTGGTAAAAATAGGTGAAATTCTGAAATAATGTGGGTCTCATAGCATTTAGAAAGAGCCATAAGAAATCTGTCAGTTCTGTCTTCAGATGGGTGAAAAATTGGAAGAAAGGCTTTATAGGAAGAAAAAAGGATCACTGCTAGTAGAATATTCTGGTTCTGTTTCAAATAGGGAAATGTCAGAGAAATACAATACTTTTGTAAATATTTAAATAAAAATTGTGGTGTGATTGACTAAAAGTATTTCCAGTTCATATGATTATTTTCTAATTAACATAAGATACCACTGTTCCAAGCCACTTAGATCCAACAAAAATGAAATATTGCAAACAAATTATGGTACTTATACCATGTCATGATTTAAAATCAGGTTTTCAAAGATTAAATGATAACATGGGGAAATGCTTTATGATAAGTGAAAAAAAACCAGGCCTAGATATAGTATGGTTCTAATTTTTTTTTAAATAGAAAAAGTTTATAGTATCCAAAGCTATAGTAATCAAAATGGTATGGTATTGGTATAAAATCCCAAACAGATCAATGGATCAGACTAGAGAGAATAGAAGTAAACTCACATATCTATGGTCAATTAATTTATAACAAAGGAGTCAAGAATATATATACAATTGGGAAAGGATAATGGTGTTGGAAACACTGGACAGCCATATGCAAAAGAATGAAACTGGACCATTACCTTAACACCACACACAAAAATCAACAAAATGGATTAAAGACTTGAATGTAAGACCTGAAACCTATAAAACTCCTAGAAAAAAATGGGGTAAGCTCCTTGGTCATAGATCTTGTTGGCATTTTTATTTATTTATTTATTTGACACCAAAAGCAAAGACAAAAAAAGCAAAAATAAACAGTGGGACATCAAACTAAAAAGCCACTGTACAGCAAAATAAACCTTCAGCAAAGTGAAAAGGCAACCTAGGGAATGGGAGAAAATACTTGCCAATCATGTATCTATCTGATAAGGGGTTAATATCCAAAATATGTAAAGAATTCATACAACTCAATAGAAAAAAAAACCCCAACAATCCAGTTAACTGGGCAGAGGAAATGAACATTTTTCCAAAGACATACAAATGGCCAACAGATACATGAAAAGTGATTCATCAATCACTAATTATCAGGAAAATGCAAAATCAAAACAACAACAGGATAGCCCACACCTGTTAAATGCCCTCCCAAAGCTGAAGCCAAAGCAAAGGCTTTAAAGGCAAAGAAAGCAGTGCTGAATGGCATCCACAGCCACAGAAAAAAGAAGATCCGCACATCACCCACCTTCGGAGGGCCCAAGACACTGAGGCTCCGAAGGCAGCCTAAGTATCCTTGGAAGAGCGCCCCCTGGAGAAACAAGCTTGACCACTGTGCCATCATCAAGTTCCCCTAACTACCGAGTTGGCCATGAAGAAGATGGAAGACAACGGTACACGTGTGTTCACTGTGATGGCAAGGCCAACAAGCACCAGATCCAGCAGACTGGGAAGAAGCCCTATGCCATTGATGTGGCCAAGGTCAACACCCTGATCAGGACTGACGGGGAGAAGAAGGCATATGTTCCACTGGTTCCTGACTATGATGCTTTGGATGTTGCCAACAAAATTGGGATCATCTAAACTGAGTCCAGCTAGCTAATTCTAAATATAAAATTTTTCCACTGTAAAAAAAAAAAAAAGACAAGAAATAACAAATGTTGATGAGGATGTGGAGAAAAGGGAACCCTTGCACACTGTTGGTGGTAATGTAAATTGCTACAGCCACTATGGAAAATAGTATGAAGGCTCTCAAAAAATTAAAAATAGAACTACCATATGATCCAGCAATTCCACTTCTGGGTATTTATCTGAAGGAAACAAAATCTCTGTCTCAAAAAGATAACTGCATTCCCATGTTCACTGTCATATTATTTACAATAGTTAGTAGACACAGAAACAATCTGTGTCCATCGACAGATGAATGGATTAAGAAAATGTGGCATGTAAGTATATACAATGGAATATCATCCAGCCATAAAAAAGAAGGAAATCCTGCCATTTTACACAAAATGGATGGAGCTTGAGGGCATTATTCTAAGCAATATGAGTCAGACAGAGAAACACAAATATTGTGTGATCTCATATATGGAATATAAAAAACAAAAACAAACCAAAACCAAACTTATAGATACAAAGTTTGTATCTATTGGTGGTTTCCAGAGTAGGGCTGGGCGTTCAGAAAAATAGAAGAAGGTGGGCAAAAGGTACAAACTTCCATTTATAAGATAAATAAGTCCTGGAAATGTAATGTACAGCATGATGACTATAGTTAACAATACTGTATTGTATATATGGAAGTTGCTAAGAGGATAGATCTTAAAAGTTCTCATCACAAGAAAAAAATCGTAACTGTGGCGATGAAGGTTAACTAAACTTATCATAGTAATCATTATGTTGTACACCTAAAACTAATACAATGTTATATGTCAATTATATCTCAATGTTAAAAAGTGTATAGAAGAGAACCAATAGTTAATCACTGATAAAACTAGATGATGAGATTACAAGTAAATTTATTTTCCTCTTAAAACTTTTTGAATAAAATAAACATTTCAAAGAAAATCATTCAGGCTCTTAAAATACTTTAGACTTAAAATACTTCAGACCCATGGTAATTAAGGTTTCACTTTAACATAAATCACATTAAATTATTTTTAGTTTAGGTAAGCTACCACAAAACAGACAGTGACACAAGACAAAAAGTAGTAACTAAAAAGGGGAAAACTTTCAATACTAATTTAACTCATACTGTTGTAGTATATAAGTTATTATGCATCGCTGCCTGTAAGGACAGACTATAGGTCAATACTAACTTGGATTTATCAATACTAACTTGGATTTATTAATAACTTGCCTAAATCTAATTCTGACATATCACTACATCATACCTTGAGAATTGCTATATGCTTCAGGAGGATCAACTATTATATCCATTGAGAATGAGTTATGTGATTCCTGAGAATGTTTTCCCATTGCCTCTACAGTGTCACTGGATGAAGATGATGATGAAGACAGTCCCAGTCTAACGTATCTTCCTTTTTTACCACAGAGTGAACAATCTACCGGTGTGCCACTAGGTCCCCGGGGCAGTTGAACTCCAGCTCTGTTGTAGTTTCTGACAGCTCCACTGTGATGCACAGAGCGTTCTCGTTGCCATATATAATGGGTTGGAGCAATGGCCATAACCTATAGTGGAAAGCTTTCTTTTAGAACTTTAATAAGTTTTTTAGATTTAGTAAAATTAAGTACAAAAATTATAACTCAAGAACAGCTATCTCTAAAACTAGATCTAAAAATCTAAGTTATTGATATTGAAAAGAAAAAGCATCCCCAGATAAGGCAGTATCACCTATAAAGTGATTTCATTGCTTGGATCCTTAAAACGATAATTGACAACATATTTAAATTATTTCAAATAGGAAACAGGACTGAAACCACTTTCCAAGTTTCTCAATTCAGAATATTCTTAAGTTTGGGAAAGACAATAGTTAGCCCCAAACAATACATAATTATTAACTTTGGAATGTACTGGGCTGAAAATAATACTTTTAATTGAGGTTTCCAACTATGTATGTTAGGCTAATCTTAAAACATTTGCAATTATGGCAAGGGATATGGTAAGAACACAGGTTCAGTTACTTAACCTCCCTGTTCCTCAGTTTCCTCATCTGTAAAATGGAGAGAATTCATGTCTATTTTAGAGGGTTGTTGTGAGGGTTAGATGAGGAATTATTTATAAAGCTCTTAACATTCCTCACTACATGTCAGGCATTGTTGTCTAAGGTTTGTTAGATAAAACACTGCCTTTAGTTTTAGTTTCTTATTTTGGCACTTGCTAGCTGTACGACTGGGCAATTTACTTAACTTTTCTGAGGCTCAATTTTTTTCATATCTAAAATGGGGATACTATCTGCCTTATAGGATTTTTCTGAGGGTTAGATATGTGTAAAATCCTTATCACATAGTAAGCAGCTGACAAATGACAGCCACTTAAGAAATCAGCTAGGAAAGCGGACCTACATGCTGACCTCATGATAGTCTAAAACTTCTAAGCAGAATGCTACACTGTTACTTTTAAGCAAAAATGTTTAGCTGCAGTTATCAGTGACCCAAAGTAAATGAGAATTGTAGAGAGTTAGACAGTGTCTGATTAATTGCCTAGACCAGTGATATTCAAACTTTTTTGAGGAGCCCTAAGTTTTCACAGATACATTGGAGCGGGGGGAGCATCCTAGGAGGAATTAAGGGGTGATAATTTGGGGGATTGTGTGTAAAATTTTGTTTGTAAAGAAAAACGGCTTTTGCTGTTAAAAATGAAAACCTTACAATCCCCAGATTAAGACCAGGCTGCTCAGAAAATGGGGTTACTGTGGCCTCCTCCAAGATAATGGCATGAAGAATACTAGCTATGCTCAATTTTTAAAGTATATTTTAGGATTGAATTTATTTTATAATCCACTTCTTAAATCCTTCAAAAAACTTTTCAACCAAAGACATGTAAATAAAGTTACATATTTAAAAAGGTAGAAGTAAATACAGGTGTTAATTCTAACTATAAACATATTGATAATAATGGAAAACTAGCTTCAGAGCTACCTAAGGTGGGAAAGTTGAATATCAGAATTTCTTCTTTCCTTATTTATCTACTATTTTTTTCTCAACCCTTCAATATCTTTATTTCCCATGTCTGGAATGTCCTCTCCCTTTGTCTTAGTATTACCTTCCCTTCAATGCCCAGCATAAGTTCCATCTTTCTAAAAACTCCAGCTTTCAGATTTTCTTGTTTTGTTAATGCTGTATTAGTTAATGCTGTATTTGTTAATGATTTTTAGCATATAAGTGTCTAGTACTCAGTTATATCTTTTGGTGCATGTAACCTATTCTACTGGAAGCCCTCTCTGTGCAGGAAGTCTCTTCTATACCTCTCTCAAATGCCTTCCACACAATATCATGCAGTCATTAAATATTCTGAATGATAGGTAAAAATAACTAAGATCTAGAGGCCACTGATATTATGAACCTTCAACAACATGACTTTTGTAGGAATCTTATAACAAGGTCTAGTGAGAAGAGCAGAGGGGAATATGAAATAAAGGGCACAGAATAGATTTGGTAAACTGTTCTGCAATAAACTAGGCGTTAATAGTCTCCCCACATGCTAACCCAGCTATTAGAAAAACGCATGCACACACTTGTTTACTTTTAAATATGTTTACATATATTTTATACACATGCATATAATTAGAATGTTATTATGATAACAACAGTGAATTAAAAAGAAAACTATACCAGGGTCAAGAGAGCAGGATTTTGGTCTTAATTCTATTAGCTTATGACCTTAGGCAAATTACATAACTGTCTGTGCCATAGGGTGTCTTTCATATATGAGAAAACAGATCACTTACAGTCCTCAAATTCTATGATTCTATGAACATGTCTTCTCTGAAGCATTGGTATTTGACCTACTAGAAATATTATCCTAGTTTTTATCTTACTCTTCTGTCATTTTTAGTGATTTTGTGTGTGTGACTTTGGTTAGTGTTCCTAAAATGCAATACTTGGCCCTGTTTTTCTCTGTGTACTTGTATGTTTACTTTTCTGTAACCTCGAGAGGTAGTATAGTATATGTCTTAATAGAACTGACTCGAATCAGACTGCCTGGGTTTGAATACTTGTGTGCTTCTTTCAGTGTCCTCATCTGGGATTACCTAGCTAACTATAATTGTGCATTAAGACATATGCAGTACTTAGAACAGTGCCTGACAAGTGCGCAAAAAGTATTAACATTACTTTCACCTTGGATTTCTTATCTACTCTACCAAGCTTTAAACATCACTTGTATGTGTTGACTCATTTTACTTATACCTGTTGACAATTCACTTAATTATCCAATCATCACCTTATCATGTCTAGCACCAAATTCCTTATCTTCCCAATAAACCAGTTTGCTTCTTCAGCCTTCCCTATTTCCATCACGGAATCCATCACTCTTTCTGTTCTGTAGAAACTCTTGACAGCTCACTCTCCCACATGTCCTATATCCAACTAGTCACCAAATAATTTTTAACACTGGTTTTTCTTTGGCACTGTCATCTTCAGCACTAGGTCTATACCATGCTTCCTGACCTATGGCAAGTATAGCAGTTTCCAGCACCTTCTTATATTGGTCTCTTCTGCATACTGTCATCGGATTATTTTGTTCAAAACACTGCATGTATCACATCACTGCTTTGCAAATTCCTAATCTGGAATCAAGTAGTAGCTGACAGAGAAACCAGCTATGACGATTTTGTGTCATCCAGGCCAGAGTGCCAAACAATACTAAAGCTTCCTCTTCATAAAATTGCTACCCTCCATGATGCATAAAGGGGCTGGAATGGAGCCTCTTTCTCATCAAGACTGGCATTCTCCATAATCTGTGAACCAATCTAGAAATTAAACTATCGCCAACCTAAATAAATTCCAGCTCAGAGGAGCTGATGTCCAAAAAGATAAGCTGGTTGTAAGAAGATGATAAGGTCAGAATAAGTAGGTTGAAATAGTCTTTATTCTTTTTTGGAAAAGCCCCACATACATTTTTCAATTTAATCATACCTCATCTCTTTCCAAAAAAGGATTTGAGGCAGCTGACAAAAAGAGCAAATGAAAAACTTTTTTTTATTAAACTAGGAACCAAAAGGGAAAATATAGCTACAGGGGGAAAGCAGACATGCCAGTAATAAAGGATAACAGAGTTAATATGGTTAAGGATAAAACCTGGCTCTTAGCTTCTCTGCAGCAGCCAGGGTTTATAAAATAGGGGACAAATTACAAAATTCATATTATCTCAAAGGAGAGAATAAATTTTTTGACAGTGGTGTATAATGGAAAGCATACCAAATTTAAGTACTAGCTGGCTCTGCCACTTACTAACTGAATGACCATGCACAAGTCGCAACCTTTCTGCACCAGTTTCTTCATCTGTTAAATGGATAGCATACTTATTTTATTTAGTTCCTGAGATAAAATAACAACAGATATAAATGCATTTTCTACACTAATCAATGAGAGGTGGAGGCTAGATGTCAGAGAAAACAGAACACTGGGAAGTCATTAGATGTGAAGTTGTTCTGACTCTGCCCCGTAATTGATGAAAGATCTTGAGTAAATCTCAATCTCGTTAGTCCTCAGTTTCATCAGCTACAAAATGAGAATGCTACAACCCTCACAGGCATTTCTGTGCAAATATATAAAAATATTTATAAATTTACAAAGTGCAATGCAAATGTAGCATATTATTATTGTAAACCAGTTTGTAGCTACTATCATAACTTGGGTTAATTTTAGGATATGAAACTAAAGAAATGGGTTGGCAGTATGCCAGTACCAGGCTCTCAATAAGAAATGCATAGAATACTTAACTAAATTTCTAAGCATGTCTTGCTACTTTAATGCATCAAATTTCAGGGGTAAAGATGATGTAATACTTCTTTATAATAACCCCCCCACACAACACTGAATTTGGTGTCTTATGCATAAGTTAGGTGTTAAAATACTTACATCTTACTAAGTAGTTTCCTTTCCTATACACCAACATGATTCAAGTAAGCTTACCAATCTGCCATTAGATCAATAATGGCAGATTGATAAGCTTCGGCAGTGCTAAGTAATCTCAGTAAAGAAAATGTTTTAAAGGTTTATTTTCCCCCTTGAAATTTCCCCCATGAAATAATTATTCATTATTTTATAAATAAGCAGGTAATGAAAAAGAATTGGAAACCTTAAGTTCCATTCATTCTCTCAGTCAGCAATATTTGCTGAGTATCTACTGTATTCTAGGCACTGGAGATACATATAACAACAAACTAGGCCAGCCAAGTGGCTCAATTGGTTAAGAGCACAAGCTCTGACAAACAGGGTCACTGGTTTGATTCCCATATGGGCCAGTGAGCTGCGCCCAAACTGAGCTGCCGCTGAGCTGCCAAATGGCTCAGCTGGTGAGAGCACGTGCTCCTAACAAGGTTTCCAGTTCAACTCCTGCATGAGATGGTGGGCTATGCCCACCCACCACTAAGATTGAACACAGCACCTTGAACTGAGCTACCCTGAGCTGCCGACGGGTGGCCAGATGGTGAATGGACTTGGAGCTGAGCTAGTTGTGCCCTCCACAACTAAGTTTGAAGGACAACAACTTGGCTGTTCCCCTTCCCCAATTCCCCAACACAACACTGTTCCCCTTCCCCAATCCCCCAGTAAAAATCTTTAAAAAAAAAAAAGAACTAAAGGTCCTGCCTTCTTGGAATTTATATGTGAGTAGAGGAAAACAGACATTAGCAAGATAATAAGTAAAACAGAGTCTGTTATATGGTGGTTAAGTGCTATGAAGAAAACCAGGAAAAGGAATACAGACGAATAGTGTGAGGTACTACTTATTTTGACAGCTTTATTGAGATATAACTCAAATACCATACAATTCACCCATTTAAAATGTACAATTTAATGGCTTTAGTATATTCCAAGTTGCACAACCACTATCATAGTCAATTTTATAACATTTTCATCATTCCATAAAGAAAGCAGTCACATCTCATCCCTCCATCAGACCCTGGCAACCAGTAATCTTTTTAACTCTTTGGATTTATCTATTCTGGACAGTTCATATAAATGGAATCATACAATCTGTCGTCCTTTGTGGCTGACTTCTCTTACTTAGCATAACGTTTTCATGTTTCATCCTTATTGTAGCATGCATTAGTACTTCATTCCTTTTAATTGCCAAGTAACATATCATTGTATGGATGTATCATATTTTGTTATCCATTCATTTATTGCTGGACATTTGGGTTGTTTCCACTCTTTGACTATTATAAATAATGCTGCTGTGAACATTTGTGTACAAGTTTTTTGGTGGACATGGTTTTCATTTAACTATATAACTATATAATAAGAGTTGAATCGCTGGGTCATATGAAACTCTGTTTAGCTTTTTGAGGAACTGTCAATCATTTTCCAAAGCAACTATACCATTTTACATTTCCAACAGAAGTGTATAAGGGTTTAAATTTCTCCACATTCTTGCCAGCAGTTGTTATTATCTGTCTTTTTTATTATAGTCATCCTAGTGGGTGTGAAGTGATATATTCTTGTCGTTTTGATTTTGCATTTCTCTGAGGCTACTGATGTTGAGTCTTTTCATGTGTGTGGTGTTTTGGGGTTGTTGTTTTTTTTGCCCATTAGTATATCTTCTTTAGAGAAATGCCTATTCAGATCCATTGCACATTTTTAAATTGGGTTGTCTTTTTATTATTGAGTTACAAAAGCTCTTTATATATTCTAGATACAAATTCTTTATCAAACAGATGATTTGCAAAAATTTTCTCCCATTTTGTGGGTTGTCTTCACTTTCTTGATAGTGTCCTTTGAAGGACAAAAGTTTTACTTTGATGATGTCCACTTTATATTTTCTTTCATTGCTTGTGCTTTTGGTATTAGGCGAAGAAGCCTAATCCAAGGTCATGAAGAATTACACCTGTGTTTTCTTATAAGTTTTGTAGTTTTTAGTTCTTACATGTAGGCCTTTGACCATTTGAGTTAGTTTTTATACGTTATAAAGCAGGGGTCCAACTGCATTCTTTTGCATGCGGATATCCAGTTGACCCAGTCCCATTTGTTGAAAAGACTCTTCTTTCCCCATTGAATTTTCTTGGTACTCTTGGTACTCAACTGAAAATAAACATGAGGGTTTATTTCTAGTCTTTTCTATTTTATTCCATTGAGGGAGATACTCCTCAATATAGGGTGGTAAGGGAAGCTTTCTCTGAGGTGACATTTAAGTGGAGTTCTGAATGAAGTGAGGAAGTGAAACACACTAATATCTGTGGGAAAGCATTCCCAGGTAGCAGGAATGACAAGTACAAAGACCCTGAGGTAGGAGTGCCCTTGGTGTGTTTGAGGAATAGCAAGGAGGCCAGTGTGGCTAGAGTGGAGTGAGCAAGGATGAGAGATGCAAGTCAGACAAGAGGAAAGTTGGCAGACCATGTAGAGCCATGATAAGGATTTGCCTTCTACTCTGTGTGAGATGGGAAGCCTCCAGGCTTTTGAGTAGAGGAGTCATGATTTGATTTACTTTCTAAAAGATTTACTCTGGCTGCTGTATAGGGAAGAAAGATTATAAGAGACACTATTTGGAAGGTTATGGCAATAATTGAAGCAAGAGATGACAATCAAAGTAGGATTTATGGTGGAGGAGGTGAGAAATGGTAGTATGCTGGATATTTTTTAAAGATATACATGTGAGAAAAAGAAAAGTCTAGCTAGGGCAACAGCTTTTTGGCCTGAACAACTAGAAGGATGAAGTTAACCATTTATTAACACGTGGAAGTTTGCAGGAGGAGCAGGTTTGGAAGCCTACGTGGGGGGGGTCGAAATTCAATTTTTGGCATGTTACGTTTGTAGTATCTACTAGATAATGAACTATGAATAGGAAATCGGATACGCAGATCTGAAATTAGTGGTCAGATCTGTTAGTTCTCAGTGTTGAATCCTTAAAAGACAACTTTTCTGTAAATTCTATTACACACTGGGTTTACAGCTGTCTAGAACTTTTTAGTCTTTTCACATACACCATTAAGTCACTCCATTCTCTGTCTCTTTTATAGTCTGGTGCTAGCAGCTGAGGTAATTCCAGCTCCAAAAGTGTAAATTAAAGTTGTTGCAGTCAAGAAATGTCAGCTGCTGTATCTATGGAGTAGGTGGGCAGTCTACTCCATAGATACAGCCTCTTGCCTCTGGTGCCCCACTCTATGCTCTTAGCTAAGTGTCCCATGGGGCTTGAAGCATTTACTTGGAAAAAATCAGAATGTTTAAATAAGGACTTGCTTGGACTATCATGTCCAACGATGGTAACAGATACACAAATTACCCATCTTGACATGGAGAGGTAGTGACAAAAAATAAAAATACAGGACTCTTTCACTGCCCTGTAATTGGAAGGAGTCATTTAAATCCTTTAATGAGGATCATTAAATTAGAAGGGACGTACTCACCTAATTTTTCATATTTTTCTATTGAATTTAATCTTGTAAAGACTTGGCCTGCTGTAGTTTTTCTAAGTCATCTCTGAATCCTTGCATTTTCTACAACATTCAACAATCCTCCTAATTTAATCCACAAATATGCATACCTGCCATATCTTTATTTCATTAAAAAATATAATTAACACAGTCAGTTCTGGGCAGTTTTATGACACATCCCTGAAGTTCTCCCTGAGGTTTGACACTGATCCGTTGTCTTTTTTAGCCTACGATCATTTAACTGGAGAAGACTTCATTTAATTTTAGCATTATCTAGCCCATACTCATACTCACCAAACTTTTCTGAACTAGTACTGGCTTACGGTGGTCACTACCTTCCATTTAATTTCTACTCTAGAACTTTTCTTTAGTTTAAAACATTAACTTTCTTCTTTATTGAAAATCAGAACATTAGATAAAATAACCAATCTTTTAATTCTTAGTGTCTTTCTGCTTTATCTTAACAGAATCTGACATCAAGGAAACCTACTTTATGTGTTCTTTGTGAGGAAGTATGGTTTTTAAACATATTTAAATTTATTTAAATTTTATACCATGCAATTCATATTTCTATCTTGGCGACCTGAAATGTCATATACCGTATTTGCCGGCGTATAAGACGACTGGGCGTATAAGACGACCCCCTAACATTTCCACTCAAAATACAGAGTTTGTTATATACTCGCCGTATAAGACTACCTCCTCTTCCGCACACCTTCCACACACCAAATAAAAGGTAAAACAATATCAGATTTGATTTCAACATTTTAATTTATATTCAAATGCTTATGACATGCAGGAAAACTGTCACAAGGCTGTATGTAATCAAACATATACATAAAACAGTGCAAGTTTATTACAGGTAAACATACCGGTAATTCACTAAAGAAAACACACTCTATAGACTGGTACCGTAGATTTTGCGAGTGTGGTAAAATCGCATAACAGCAAAATCGCATAACAGCCGAGCATACACCCAGCAGCGCTGCTGATGCCTGAACGGTATGTGGAATGAAGTGGGAGGGCATCGGGAGGCCACTATGGCACGGGGCAAGCACTATGGGCAGTCTATCTGAAGTGTACCTGGCGTATAAGACGACCCCCCACTTGGAGGCATATTTTTCAGGGCCAAAAAATCGTCTTATACGCCGGCAAATACGGTACTTTATTTAATGGAAATTATTAATCAAATCCAGTGATATTACCATAGGATATTTTGAAATGTGCATACTACCCTTTTCCCATATATTGGTGATCTTTTAGACAACAGAAACACATTAAAATAAAAATACTTACTATAGAAGTAGGCTGCTCTGAAAAACAGAAATGACAATTTAAAATTATTGTGGTATAAAAATTAAAACATTAACATTGCAGTACACAAGTTGTATTCATGGTAACCACCAAGTCTAACAGTCTACCCTTACGTGTACAAAAAATAAAATGTTAGAAGCACATTAAAAAACAAGACAAGGAAAATTACATGAACAGAAGACAGGTATCATATATATAAAGTATTTTAAAATCTTACCTCCTCACAGCATCGCCTGCTTACAATAGCCCTGTAGTCAATTCTATCCCAGAGTTGGTCCCTTAACTTTAAGAAATCAGGGAACAATTTTCTCCAGTTTTTCCCTAAAGCCCATGGAAAAATTTCATATTTGGATTCTTCTTCATCTTCTTCAACTGTATTAGCCAGATACCTAACAAAGAAGATCAACAACTCAAAAACAAAACATGAATCACTTATAAACACATAAAAGATGTTCTTATAATTAAAGAAGTAATAAAAAAATAGAGATACAGTGAATTTTACCTTGTTAATTCTGACTATTTTTGTATTCCTATAAATCTTGAGCTTTGTTCTGGGACGCAGTTAAGTCTGATCCTTTCAGGTCTCACTTTTATGATTTGTTACGTGGATCTAGAGCAATGTACAGTCTGGGGCTAATGGGTCCCTACTACTGAGGCAAGACTTTCCTGAGTACTCTACTCAATATTCTGTGAATGATGCGTTTTTTCAGTCTGGCTAGTGGGGACAGACACTATTTCTAGCCCTGGGTGAATGTTAGGCACTATTTCCTCTAATCCTTTCCTATGGTTTTTCCCCACAATCAAGTAGTTTCCCTAGACACAAATGGAAATCAGTATCCTGACAAATACTTAAGAGGGATCAGGAAAACACAACCCATAATAAGGAAAATAATCAATTAATCAAAACTGACACTCATGGTAGAAGTAACAAAAACATTAAAATGCTTATAACTATTCCAGGTGTACAAAAAAATAAGTAGACACATTGAAAGTGTACTTTTAGAGATGAAAACTATGTGTCCAATGAAAAATACACTGAGTAAGATTAAAAGCAGATTAAGTATCCCTGAAGAAAAGATTTATGCATTGAAGACATAACAGTATAAACTATCCAAAATGAAAGACGTAGAGAAAAATAAACAAAAAAATAATAAACAGAGCATCAATGAACTATAAGACAACTTCAAGCAGCCTAGTAAAGGTCAAATTGGAGTCCCTAAAAGGCGGCGGGGTGACCAGAAAAAAATATTTGAAGAAATAAATGGCTAAAAATTTTTTAAATTTCATGAAAACTATAAGCCCATAAAGAATCTTCTTGAACTCCAAAGCACCAAGGCACATCATAACCAAATTACTCAAAACCAATGATAAAGAGAAAATTGTAAAATCAGTCAGAGGAAAAAAAAAAAAGACACATTAGATAACACAGGAAAGGAGATAAGGATGGAGCAGATTTCCCATTGGAAACAATGCAAGCCCATAGATAATTTTCCAAGAAAAATGGGCAACTTACAATAAAAAAAAATTATAAAACTCTTAAGACACCATGAGCAGAAACAGACTCTGAAGTCTCAAGATACTGGAATTGACAAACATCAAAGAAAACGAGGTCTTATAAGTAGTCAGAAAAGAAGGCAAATGATCCTAAGTGGAAGGTTTGAAATAAAAGAAAGCATAGTAAGCAAAGATATAAACATGTGGGTAAATCTGAACAAATGTTGAATGTATAGAACAATAATAATAATGTCTAACTTTTTGGAGGGCATCAGGTAGAACAATAAAATTGCAAAACAGGGCCGGCCGAGTGGCGCGATGGTTAACTGGCTTGGGACGCCAGAGGGCCCCGGTTTGGATCCCACATATGAGGTCCAGTGACACTGCCCTCTACAGCTAAGATGCTGAACAACAGCTCAACCTGGAGCTGGGCTGCCGTGAGTCGCTGGCGACGGCGTAGGCTGCAGCCCCTGTGACAGTGGGCTGCCATGGGCTACCGTGTGTAGCCAGCAGCCAGCATGAGCGGCCAGCAGCCGCAGTGAGCGGCCGTCCAGAAGCCGGCGACTGATCTGCCTCACCCGGGAAGAGCGCAATGATGGTGCCAACTTGGGCCAGTGAAGCAACGTCCTCCACAACTAGACTGAAGAACAAAAGGACAGCCATTTGTCTGTTCCCCTTCCCTGATTCCCTAGCACTGTTCCCATCCCCTAATTCCCCAGTAAAAAAAAAAAAAAATTGCAAAACAAAAGAATATAAGTTAGGAAAGGGGATGACTGTAGTTGAAATGCTTAAGGTTGTGTTTAAAAGTAACTAGGATACTTGCTAAAAGACTAGACTGCATAATTTACAAACAAGTAGAGAAAAAAAGGTGTCAAAAATGAAAAAGAAAAAATCTCAACTAAAAAGAAGATAAAAATGGAGGGGAAAGAAGAAACAGAAAAAATGGGACATATAGAAAGTATATAACAAGATGGTAGAAAAAAAATCCAAATATATGAGCAACAATTGAATATTATTCTGCAATGAAAATGAACTATAGTTACGCATATCGATATAGATCTCAAAATTGTAACGTTATAAAGCAAAAGGAAGTTACAGAAGAATAGTACACATGATTCTTTTATATGTAGCTAAAAACATGAAAGATCAAATAACATTATTTAGAGATATATAGATGGAATAAAAGCAAGAAAGTGATTATTTTTGGAATCATTTGGGAGGGGGCTCGAAGTGGGAAACTGTACTGTGAGCTTCTAATATTCTAGCAATAGTCTAGTCTTAAGGTAAGTCATGGGTGCACAAATATTTGTTTTGTTTTTATTTTTTCTCACACATGTACATATACACTCCATATGCTCTTTTGTACATTATTTCACATTCAAATTTTTAAAAAGGTACAGAAGTGCACAGTACACTTCTATTCATGTAATATGTACACTGGTTTACATATAGAAAATTATTTCTAGCCAGATACACATGTTAATTGTCCTTGAGGAGGGAGGCCAGTTCTTCAGATAGGAGGAAGACTTACTTTTAATTGTATATCCTCTTATGTACTTTTTTTAACCATGTGCATATTCATATTTAGTTACATTAATGTAAAATGAGCACCTACATATTACTTTATCCTCCCTTAAAATAACAGTAGTTTTAATATTACCTTACTAGAAAGCAGCTCATTGTTAAACCCATTCAGTTCTGAGTCAAATCCTGTCCTCTGTGATACTATATAATTTCTTACTTTTCGTAAGTCTGATAGCTCTTAGTAAAGGGGAGACAGAGCTGGAGATTGGTCCTTTTCATGCTTGCTGACTAAGTGAAATGTGGAAAATCTATAATGTACTATGGTAATATGGTATCCAGACTACATCGTGATTCTGCTCTAGATTAAACAATTTTTTCAGGTTCAATGTGATGAAATCTCTGCTCCCTTTTATTTTGAAATAGTCAAGATTTTCTTGGAGCACAGTCCATTTTTGCATAATAATTAATTATGTGTATTCAAGTAAAGAATTAAGAACCTCCTATATGCTAGCCATCAAAGGATGCAAAAAAGTAAGATACACGTTCCTTGCCCTTAAGGAGCCTGCAGCCAAGTAGAAGAGGCAATTAAGTATGAAACAAATAACTGTAAAAGAGATGTGGAAGAACGATAATTGAAGTTCAGTGTTATAAGAATATATAGAAAGGAGAAGAACTTGAGCTACAACTATGGCTAACTGCGAAAATAAGGAGAACTATTGAGTAAGGCTGTACAAAAAGTATTAGATATAATTCATGTTATTTTTAATATGAAGCTAATAACATGCATGCAACCTCACAGACTACTACATAGTGTAAGTTGACACAATGCTTTACTGGTAATAACTTTATCAAAAAAGTCAAACAAATCCAATTTCAGGCATCTATTGGGTTGTCGGAAAAGTCATGACATATTTTTTCTGTTTTTCGTTGCAAAAATGCATCATGACTTTTCTGACAACCCAATAGTAAGATTTAAACTAAAGCTTCTTTTGGTTTGTGATTTTCAGGTGAGGGAAAAAAAACTAAAAAAAGATATTGCATCAACATACAAACATAATACTAAGAGACGTGTAAACAGCATTATAGCTTAGTGGTCAACGGCTGATTTTGGCTACTGGCTAGTCGCACCTGAATCTGTGTCTCAGCCCTGCTGCTCACTAGCTTTTGTGATCTTGAAAGTACTTAAGCTAAGTCTCGATTTCCCCATCTGTAAAATGGGGATAATTAAAAAATGTATCTCATAGGGAAGATTAAATCAGCTTATAAAAACATTTTGTAGTGCCTTGCACATAAGACTCAGTATTAGCTAATACTATTATATTCCCCCAATGTAGCAATCATCACCAAAATTTATATTGAGTTCATTTTTCCCTATTCATGGGGAAATGTGTTTCCTGAATACATGCAGAGATCAATT